AAACAAAGGTAACTCTAAATAGCAGTGTTACAACTCTGTTCGCAGTTTTTGCATAGCTCACCCTCATCCCACCTTCTGTCGTCCCTCCCTCAGCCCTTTTCGCCCCCTCCCCAGGGACCACACTCTCCCCCACCTCCTCGTCCCCTTCCCTCAAGGAGTCCGCTCTGGATCCGCTTGTGGCGGAGTTACACTTGGGAAAAGAATATTCTTGTCAAATTTCAGCTTCCTAACTTTCATGGTTCCCGAGATAATTTTCCCACCAAAACTTTCATGGAACTGTATGTGATACCCAAGCGCACGGGAAGGTTGAATTTAAATTTTCTGGATCGCATGTGGGCAGGGGACATAAAAAATTTCAGCCCACTAGCTTCAGTGGTTCCCGAGATAATGATTTTACCCGCCAAACTTTTACGGGACCGTGCGTGCTACCCGCGGCCACTGGTAAGTTGAATTTAAATTCGCGGGGTCGCACATGGGTGGGGAACGTTCTCCTAAATTTTCAGCTTCCTTGTGGTTTCCGAGTTAAATGTGCGGGACAAAATCTTCGACAAACACACAGAGACAATCCCGTGACAATATGCGTTTTGTGCAATTGTTACACAACGCAAAAGGCATAAAAAGGGCTGCCAAGCGGGCAATAAGAATGTAAAAAAGGATGAGATAGATTTAGCCAAGAGTGGTCAATGAAAGTCTGTCAGGAGGTAATTTATCAGGAGTTTATCTGGATGGCCAACGAAAGTTTGTCAGTCTGTCGAAAAATTATCAGCTTGTGGGGCGCTGCACGCCCCGCCACAAGCTAATACCTAGTGAGCTGAAATTTTGTGAGTATGTCCCCTGCCCACGCACGATCCAGAAAATTTAAGTTCAGTCTTCCCGTGCGCTTGGATATCACCTACGGTCTCGTGAAATTTTTGGCGGGAAAATTATCTCGGGGATCATGAAAGTTAGGAAGCCGGAATTTAATAAGAATGTTTCTTTCCCACGTGTAACCCTGCCACAAGCGAATCCAGAAAGATTATCAAAGAGCGTAGGGCCACGCGGAATTTAAGCGATGAAATCAGTGCAGAAAGGCAAGGCCAATTCAGGGACGCTACGAAACGCTTTGAGGTGTACGAAAGCCAAAATTGAGAAGGCAGCATGAAATCAGTGTGCGCCTTCCTCATTTTATCGAGAACTGAGCTTGTAGTTTTGCATTGCATTGTACTTATTCAGGCTAATGGTTTCGCGTATTTTTGCGACCATTCCACAGCTGCGTGGTTATCGCCTCATAAAGATTGGTTTCCGCGGACACCATCTGTACATTTCACCGCGGCGCTCGGATCGCATCCAGATTTGGTCGTTACATTCGTTTATTCCCAATTCATGGGCCGTTTTGCTCAATTATCCGCTTATCCAATTACTCTATTCATTCTATGCGGTTTCACCCAGTGAACCATACATCTATGCCTTAGTGGTCGCTCTCTTCGTAAGTTCAATTGTTCAGCTAGAGCCCGTCAGAATTACAGCATTGTTGTGCTTTGAAAGGATTTTGGTACTCCGGTCTGTAAAATTCTGCAGCACCATAATGTTTTTTATATTTTTTTTCTGAGATTTTACATCATTTTCTAGCGAGGCAGGACAGTTGGGTTAATTGGATAGTAATCCATTAGAAAAAATGCAAAAAGAGAACGCGGGGCGCCACAAGTGACCAAAAAGCGCGGAATTATCCAAAAGGCCAGAGATGAACAAAAGTTGCGAGCACTAGTTTTATAAAAAAGCAGAAAACAAATTGGAAAGCGCAAATTTGTGTGAAAATACGTGCCTGTTTTGAGAGCGTGATAGAAAAAGAATGCCATTTTCTCTAACGGACGCTGATTTGCCTGAAAAAGGCCGGATTTTAGTTTGCTTTGTTTCTGTAGAAAGCTAATTACGGTACTATTTGTGTTATAACAGGACTGTGATGTTCCTCGCATATCGATTCTACGTGTACACTTGGATACGGGTGCGTGTGATGTATTCAATCTGGATGAAGCATCTGGTGAAGAATTCGAGAATAGTGTTTATTTCGAAAATGTGGTACTTGGATGTGGGCAGAGGCAACTTTACATGTACGAGCGGAGTGTTGTAATGGGACCAATCCCGTTCTGGAAAATTATACTGCTTGAGGTTTGCTCTGTTTCATATCTGTTCCTCGAAAATACTTCGTATTTGTGATATGCAGATATGTTAAGCATATTGCTTACTTTGGTGGGCTGTTGTTTTGTAGTCGCGTTCATTTTTTTCATGTACGCATCCCGTAACTTCTCTCCATTCTCCTCTGTTTCGGACTTCTTATCCAGTAATTCCTATAGGCTTTTAAGTGACCCTTTCCTCACTGTTTGTGGCCTTCCATATGATATTCCAGCACTGTGTGGCTTCAGGTCGATAATCTGCTTCATCCTTGCATTAATCCGCTGTCCTCTTATTTTTGCCACATGAGCAGCCCAGCTTCTACTCCTCTCATACATTGTCTTGATGTGTAATATTACCTCCCCCACCGAGCCGCAGTACTTCGTTGGAGACGTGGAATTTGCTGCCTTTCGTCGTTCTAGGGCTGATATTGAGCCATTGCCAACTTTTAATCTTAAGTGTGCTGTTTCTTAAGTATGCCTCTGTTCCATACAGCGGAACTGGTATATAGTGGAACAGAAAAGTACCGTCTGCGCAGATGACTTCATGTTAGTGCTGGAAAAGATGACAGATAAATTGATGAAGCTATCCATGCTGCTATTTTACTTAGCCCCTAAGCCAGCTTGATATTTCTCTATATCGTTTTTTCACAGATGTGTGTGGTTGTTCACAAGTTAGCAGCTGATTCTCGAGTCTTCTATCGAAATGTGGGTGATATGAACTTCACCCATTTGTTTTTTTTCCTCCGCAGATTTATAATCCAGTTTCCTTCGCATTAGCCGCAAATTTTTTTACATATGCTATAATGAATATGCCGTCTTCTGCTATGAATACGGTATCTTCTGCGAAAATAAGCGTTTGAAATATTTCGCTTTTGATCACAACAGTGGACTTATTTTTATGCGTTTTTTGCAGCAATGCAATGCGAAAAACGCATATTGACGAGAAGTTGTCTGTGTGTGTGTGTGTGTCTGTGTGTGTGTGTTTGTGTCTGTGTGTGTGTGTGTGTGTCTGTGTGTGCGCTGGGCCTCTGTACCGATTTTTCATCTCGAGA